GGTTAAGTACTGGAACTGTCGTGGCAAGGATTGTAGAGTATGGTTACGTCCCCCAGGCGGGACGGTTCGTTCGGCCGGGGAGGCAGCGATATAAGGAGTGGTCGCAGCTGATATATGAGAATACCAAGTTCATTGACCGACAGAGGTATGAACGGAAGTTGGCTGAGCTCGAAGAATCCCTGCGACCACCTTGTGTACAGGCCCCCGAGTTTTGATGGCCTTCAAAGTTATTGTTGCGTCCGAACCCAGGAGCCACCACTGCCCGCGTGGCCTGTCTCTAAGTCAAGTCTGACCGGCTAGAGACAGGGAAGCGCACAATCAAAATGACTTCAGATGCTGGAACCCAAACGTGCGAGACTTGCGACGCATCAACGCAAACGGACTCTGGACGGGAGAGCGAATGTGAGACTATCCGGTTTGCGAGTCAAGGCCAAACGTGGATGGAGTACGAAGCCGAACCAGAACCTGAAAGGTCTGCGGACCCGGCGGAAGAGTCCGGGCGGTCCGACGCAATCGACGTTGGAATCCTGCCAGGTTCCTCGAGCCAAACGGATGAGCGGACCCCCGTCCAGAAGTTGGAGGCAGAGTACATCCGAGTGATGAAGGCTACGCAAGAAGAGTTGGATCTAGAACCTGGTGTTTACATCCATGAGGGAAGCCAGTTGATGTCTCAGCTGCGTGATGACCTCATGATGTTGCCTGATTTGGGCGACCTCACACCTGAGTGTGATATCTCCACGGCAGATGTGGGGGTCCCCGGACGGACCACTCCAGCAGAGGAAGCGCATCTAAGAGATGTTCTCAGACGATATTCCAAGATCTTCTTAAGTGATGGAAACGCGCCACCCGCCCCAGCCCGGGGCGTGGTATGCGACATTGACGTCAGAGGAGCCAAACCGGTAGCACTGCGACCAAGGTCGATAATCCCCAAGGTTGCGATGAAGGTTTACGAGTTACTGAAGAAACTCCTAGAGCCTGGACTCATCGAAATGTCTGACTCTGCTTGGGCTTCGCCTATCGTGATCGTCTTGAAGAAGAAAGGAGTTGACATTCGTATGTGTATTGACTATCGCCTGGTGAACAGTTTCATCGAGCTGTCGAATTATCCGCTGCCGCTGATTGACGACCTCCTGGTGGGCTTCGAGCAA